AGTGCTCCTGGTGTATGTGTCTGTACACGAGGAGCAAATAGGGTAGGAAATGAGCTCTTCCAGTAACACCAGCGCTGAGTCAAACGATGTGATGCACGACCTCTGGGCAATGGGAAATGTTTGCATCTGCTTATTGTGAAAGAGAAAATGTGGATTAAGTGAAATCTGTAGCGGTGTTAGAGTTACTGTGCAGATCACTCAGCTTCTATAAAATATTAAATTGCCTGCAGCAATGACAAGCTCTGCTCGAACACACACAAGCACAAAACATATCGCGTCCCTGTCTGCTATGGCCTCCAGCTTTAATTCTCCCTTTTTTCCTCTGGTTTGCTGGAAACCTGGCGTTTGTTTGTTATGAGACAAACCCCTTTAGCAGCATCCATTATTCAGCACATCAAGGTGACAGCGTAACTCAATATACTCAATAGACCCACATCCGCAGGTGTTCTCAGTTACACTATACCACGAGATGCAAACGGTGGTATTTGTCTTTGTGCGTTCTTTTAACAGGCGTGTCGAGCCAGGAAGAACTTCTCCTCGCTGTACGCTATCGTGTCTGCCCTCAAGAGTAACCCCATCCACCGGCTGAGGAAGACGTGGCAGGACACCGACAGGTCTGAGGCTGCAGTACTCTCTGTTTTAGTGCAGAGGCTTTATAATCTAATATGTGGAAAACAATCTAAGAGAGGAAAAGTGCAGGATTACAGCTTGAAACGAGGGCATTTAAAGGCCATGGTGATCATTCTAAACAGGTTCATGTTAAGTATTGGAGCAGCAGCATGAACAGCTGGTCTCAAATATTAGTTTATTTAAGTATATCCATCCATCCAACCATCCATTTTCTGCCTGGGTCTGGGTTACAGTGGGCTGTAGTATAAGTTGAGATACTCAGACCTCCCTCTCTCCAACCTCTTCTTCCATCTCCTCTGGGTGGACACAGAGGCATTCCCAAGAATGTAATCTCTCCATCATGTCCTGGGTCAACCCTGAGGTCTCCTCCCAGCTGAACTTACTCAAAACACCAGAAGGCATCCCTGTCAGAGGCTGAACCACCTCTCCTTAAATGTATTTATGAATATCAGAATATATAAACAATGCTTATACATCTTATATTACACCGGGGCTGTGATCGACCGTGGCTGCTGGGGCTCTGGGGGTCCTCTCAGCCTGGCTGGGGGGCTTCTTTGCCTCCCTCCTGCTGTGTGCCCAGCCTGGAGGCTGCGGTCTGTGACCGGCTCCCGGTGCAGACGGCTCCCTGTGATAGTGTTTCTTCACTTGGCTCATGCGTACCCAGCCCAATTTTACTCTTTAAGTGTGCGTGTGTGTGTGTGTGTGTGGGGGGGGAGATATGTGTGTATTCACATCGTTTATGTTAATGAGAGTGTGGGGAGTGAGTTGGGGGGTGGGGTGGGCTGCTTTTAACCATGTAAAGCACTTTGTGCTACATTTTTTTGTATGAAAAGTGCTTTATAAATAAAGATTGATTGATTGATATTAGGGGTCTGAAGTGCAAAATAAGAAAGGAATATTGTGCATTTTTTCATTTTTATTATCTTTTTCATTAATAATAGAAAATAAAAAATAATTGGATAAGTATACATTCAAACTATTTTGGTCTGTTTTGTGCACTAAATCTTAAAGTCGGACATACATCTGGATTGTAATACTTAAAACAGTATCACCAGTTTTAAGTCCTTTCTGATGTACAGTGCAGTAGACAATACTGAATTCGTATGGGTAAACAAGGCTCTTTATGGTAATCGAGGAATGGCACCAGCGCTGTCTCAGGTATCAGGCTGCAGTTTCTTGGACCTGAGAGAAACAAAGGTGTTCCACATTCTCGATAATTAGACATGCCCCTCTTGAAAATCAGTTTGGCTTTGGATAGGAATAATGCCGAGCTGGAGGAGACAAAGACTCCCGCATGCTCACAGGGACCAGGCGGGTTAAACTGTTGAATGTCTGAGTCAGCTGAGTCAGACGAGCGGGTACTGCTGAGAAACGTTCAGGCGGGAAACTGGTTTAGGAGTTGGAATCAAACGGACGGCTGATGTGTTACTTTGCTAAATAATTAAAGCTCTTTGCTTTAGAGCATTTTTTGTAAGAATTCTTATTCATTGAAAAAACAGGCAAAGACTACAAAATATATAATTTTATATAATTTATTTACATACTACAAAAACAACCATATTTAGAGGAAATAAGGAACTTGGAAAGGAAAGCGTCTGGACTTCTTTAAGTTGCTTGAAGACATTTCACCTCTCATCCGAGTCCCAGATTTAAGCCCTATGGGAGTGTCCCCCCAAGAGGGACAATGGACCCCCTAATGATCCAGATATATAGTCAGAGAAACACAGTGTTTTTAGAAGCTGAATTAGTTTATAGAAATGTTTATTTCTGCTTTATTTATAATTTTAAAAAGTTTTATCAACCTACACCATCGCTGTTTTAATATTATTTTATAGCATCAGTTGTTCTTAGTTTTCTGGGATGTTCAAACTAGATGTTAACTCCATTTCTAAATTACCTCAAGTGTCTCTTTCTGTGATATTGTCTTTTTAAAAAACCCTTTCATATTATCTCATCATGCAATACAATAACAGTAAATCTGTGCCTGGCTAATGTCATTCAAGCTCAAGCACAAATGATCTTCATTATATTTTAGTAGACTGAATAAAATAAGACTACAAATCAGTCTTTATCTTACTGATCTGGTTGCTTTACAGAGAGGCGTTGAGGAAATATGAGGAACTGTCAGAACTCTTCTCAGACAAGGACAACTATTCACAGACCAGAGAACTCCTGAAGGAGGTAAGTGGCGGGGATTAAGGCTGTAATGATAGTGGACTGTATGTCTTCAAAGTAGGCTGAGGTAAAAACAGGATCAAATGATGACATCAGTTACATTATACTGTGCGGAGAAAGCAGATTCAGTGAGAGATTTGATATTTTATTTATGGCACACCGAGGCTGCTTTCTACTTGGGTCACGACACATCACGAAACCAGCAAGTAAAAAGTGAAATCATCAAACACGGATGGCGTGTGTTCTAGACATCTTGTCATTTCACTGTACGTGTTGATTAATGATGAAACTAGCTGGAAGCAGCATCTTATGCTGGAAAGCTGCCGCTTTGAGCTCTCAGTGACGGGGCTGTTGTGTTGGAGCGGTCTTGGTTTAGAGTGAGATTTCAGCAACTGTTTTGTAACGACTTGGACTCATTTTAGGGCTATTTTTACTCAGACCTGTGCTGCTCTTGGCTACCGTTAGAGTCTTTTATGTCTTATCTTTGTACTGTCTTGCTAAAAAAAACAACTTCCAAGGACTCTTTTCCCTATTCCTTTATCACTCCAAAAACATTGATTTTGAAAGTATGCTGTAGGTGCATGGCTTATATAACAGAGCCTGTTTGGGGACTTTACTCGATATCATCCCATTTTTTAAATCTGCTATATTACGTATGAGCTAATTCATTTGGGTAGTACTCTCCCAGTATCTAATGTTCCTTTTTTTCTAACATAAGAATGAAACAGGATGTTTCTGATAATCCATTAAAAGCTTTAAAAGGCACCATCAGCGCAAACACAGCAGGGAGGTGTAGCTCAGTGACTCTAGTTGAGAGACCTAGCGGACACAGGCTGGCTGCAGGATGTATCTGGACACTTTAACGGGTGTTGGGTCACCTGTCAAAGTGTCCAAGCTTCCAAGGCCATCCAAGGACCATGTACGCTCACGCTCGAGATATCATAAATGATCATTTCTTTATGCAAAAAGAGGAGTTGCCCTCCATTGGTCATGAAAATAATGCAGGTTTTCAGTTGGCTTTGTTTTCAGTCCGTCCTTTATATACAGTCTTTGCTAAACACAGCATGCACTGACTGCACCGATGTCTGTTAATGCTCAAACAGCAGCTCTGTAAAACCATGTGGTCACTTTGCTATTTCACATGCTGGTGGTACGAGACATTTATTAATGCGCCTGTCATCTGTCATCACATTTATTGAATTCATATTCGCACAGACTAAACCAGAGCCTAACCATCCACGGAGAAAGACGACTGCTATGCAGGCCAGAAAACAGTGTAATCTTCATTAGTACAAGTGCCCTTATTCTGTCAGCGTTTTCACTGTGAAACACCCATTTGAAGATGCATTATATTTAGTTTGCACCGCGTCAGCGAGTTTGGGAAATTGGCAGAATTAGCAATGTTTTGATTTTCTATAATGGTGCCGCGCGAGCATCAGTGGCTTTGCATTAGCTCTGATTTTACCCACGATACCCCCAAAGGAATTCATCCAAACATTTTCTTTCATTTCTAAAGCTTCACTCTGAGCTTTGATGTCAGAAAAACACCACTGCCTTCTGTTGCCCTTTGATTTTTTTTCCCTCCCTCACAGTAACTTGCTCCTCTTCATCTCACAGCTTGTCTAAAAATGACTACAACCAGCAGGCAGGGTGTAAGATGAATGATTCAGTCTAATAAAAGACTAAACTGAACGTTAGGAGAAATAAATTATTCACAAAACTGTCACAGAAACATTTGACAGTAATACCTCTTTATTATGATGTTTATGGCAAGTTTTGACTGTTTCTCTTCCCTGATGCTAAGTTTTCATGACAGATCTTTTGACTGAACGCTTCTAACTTTCTTATTAATGTCGTGAAAAGGATTTTAATGTGTGCTTAGGTTACCTGAAAATTAATCATGACAGAATTAGGTTTTACA